AGAAAATAATCCCAACAAACACACGCATTCTCGATGCGACAACAGAATCTCTCAGTCCTCATCAGCACAACAGAAAAAAGTTACCTACCTTCCTAATCTATATCTTCAAGGTACTAGGTAGCTTTCGTCCAGCTTTATATATCTGCAATACTCAAAAACGTCGCGGAACCCCTTCCGATATCCAAGTACGGAACCGTTTGTGAACATCTGACCTCTTTTCATCTCTCCGCCTCAATTTAAGGAAGCGTCGTGTGACGTTCATTGTTACTGGTCTGAAGATGGGGGATGATATTGTGTTACTCTCTCCAAATCCAAGAATCTAGACTGGCAATCTAGAGTAACCATCAGAACTTGGAATCCCAACAAACGAAACGAATTTGCGACCCAGTACAACTCCTTTCACTAGCCATAGCAAGTTTCGATTGGAGCCATCGGAAAATGCCTAGGTAGATACCTACTCTGTATATCCTTACAAAGTTTTTATATTGCATTTAGACATTTAAATATCTAGACCAAAGTTACCAGTCCCCCGGATTTTGGACCCCACCCGGTACTTCTCCACACCACATGACTTACAGTACGATATATTACAACGAACAGTAATGGAGTAATGAACTAGTACCATACTAAAGCAACTTTGGCAGGATAAACCGTCTATCAAACCTCTATTGGGAATTGACTCGAGCCTCGAGCCTCAAGCTTCATGCACTCATTAATTACTCTTGAGCAAGGCGGAAGATAGGATCTCTCACATCCAACCACCCATCCCGCGTGTTTATCCCGAGGCCAGCAGAAAACGTGCCCCATATTCCACATTCCAATCAAGCAAATCACTGTCTCGGAAGAACAGCACCCAACGACAAAGTCCTAAACCGTCCGAGATCATACGACACGACCCAAAATCTAACGTAGCAAAGCAAAACAAAAGTTTGCCAAACTCAGGGGAAAAGCCATCCATCCATAGCAATGCCGCCGAGCCGCCCCTTGCCCTTTTTCTCGCCCGCGCACGCCCTTTCTATACTCCACTCATGGAGCCATGTCTCACGTATCCTGACCCGAGAAAACACAAATTGTTCCTTCCAACCTTCTAGCTTCCTTCCGACTACTCACTAAAATGCTTCTAGAAAAGTGTTTCTCGTTTTCGTTTTCTTTTTCCGCTGGGCTCTTCTGCGAGGGTGGCGCCATCAGGACCAAAAATTGCTGGGGGATTTCAAAATCTCACTCCCATTTTCAATAATTCAAGATCAAATCATCTTATCAGTATTTCGAAGCAAAATCTATTAAGAAATATTTGCAAAGCGTATCGTTAATGAATTTTTTGAAATTCTATTATACTAGAATTATAGTTCCATACCATTATTTGATTATTAAAACAAAGATATCATTCTTCGAAAGGGGTTTAATTTTTGGCGAGTCTATCTGGTGTCCCAATATTCTTCGCCCTGATGTGATGAAGGGGCAGGAGCTCTTCTTCGGCGCAGAGCAAGGCAAGCCTCAAAATATATTAACTTTTTCTCGTCCCAGCCCCTGATACAACTTGCGGGCTTGGGAGGGGGAAAGAAGTCGGGGCAATCATGTTAGGGATTGGGCAGCAATCTTCTCATCTCCCTGGTGTTTGTTTGTCTACCTAGCGCACGCTTATGAATATGAATATGAAGGTGAATGTGGATGTGAATGTGAATGTGGACGTGAATTTGAATATGGGCTGTCTAGGTATGTCTCTTCTCTGGGGTGAGCCTCATGTTTTTTATCGGTGAAAACTATGTATGTATGTATGGATGGGATGGATGGATGGCTTCGAGTCTTTTTTTTTTCTTGCTCTGCTCTCGCTGATGGTAAATGCCAGATGCACACTCAGAATCAGATGCAGTGGTAGGCTTGTAGGTAGATTTTGTGCCAACTACAGAAATACAAGGGCGATCGTATCGAACCAATCAGTAATTGACATTCAACAACGCCATCATCGACAGCATCTGACTGGAACAGCTTTGCATGTCTGTATGTGCGTGCATCAACGCGCTCGGCAAATTTTCTCTTCTACATACCTAGGTACTCTGGAAGCAAAATCAACAGATTTCAATACTAGGTAGGTAGATATTTCAATAGGTAGATTATCTTGATTTTTGAAATGCTGATGGAAGCTCACGAGTAGCAATATTGATTGGTATTCCATTGCAGAATCAATAGCTTGCTATTTTCAATACACACATACTGTAATTGTAACTGTAAACTGTAACTGTAACTCGGATCTAAAGGGTACCTAGGCATCTTACCTGGATACCTATTCCTCACAATTCCACATCCATCCTGATCAAATTCAATATTCAATATTCAACATCCCTCACTCTTCATTCTCAATTCTCCAATCAATCCCGAGTTGACTATTCATATACCTACATAGATACCTACCTAGTTGTCCCTCAGGTTCACAAGATCTATTACGATCCATAGTATACTCATTGATTCCTTCATCCCATCCCATCCATTCCACCCCCCAAAACTCAGCCTAATCCAAAATACCCAAACCACTCCGTGCAGCACCAACCTCCATGAGAAAAAATTAAACCCCCCTCCCCCGATTTTCAAGGGTCTAACAAGTCACAAGTTCATTCGGAGAATTGTTTTTTGCTGCTGTGCAATGCAGTGATGTTGTAGAGCGCACTGTAGGTATGCACCATGAAAAGGGGAAGAAAAGGGACCTTAGGTGGGGGGTTACACGTGATATCGTAAGGGATGGTTGCAGAAGTCAAATGGAGATAGATGAATGGATAGATGATCTTGTGATTGTTCGGAAGGTTACACGAGTGACAAGCGGGTATGTAGGTAGGATACGTAAATAACACCACACTGAATGTCAAGTTGAAGTCTGTTGTTTAAAGAAATTTCATAAAGTTCGTCATGCTACATTAAGCCGAGTAGGAAGGGGAAGGAAGCAGTAAGCCATTCCCACCTATATGACTCGGGTTCGAAGATCTAATGCTTTTGTGAACATAAGAAAAGGCGCTATAAACACACTTGATAACCCGTTGAAGAACAAGGATCAATTATGTGAGAGTGTAACCCCCATCTACTCGTAAATCGGCTGGGATGTTGTTAGCAAGTTGACTCAAAGGGGCTTTGCGGAGAAAAATGTTCTTACCTCCAGTAACGTAGTTAGATGCGTCTGACGAAAGGAAAGTGACGGCGCCCATAAGATCTTCGGGCTGACCCATCTTACCCTGTGGAATAAGAGAAGTCCATTGCTTCTTCAATTCTGGGTTTTCATCCAAAATCTTCTTGGTTCTATTGTTTCCGTAATTAGCATTTGCTTACATGAAAGGAAAAATTAACCCCCCACGGGGTCTTTCTGGGGCTCAAATCTTACAATGCAGTCAGCATATATCCAGGGGAGATGCAGTTGACTCGGATGCCAGCGTGAGCCCATTCGACAGCCAAGGATGAAGCGAGATGTCGGACAGCAGCCTTGGCCGCGTTGTACGGCGCTTGAGGTTGTGGAACATTGACAATGGCACCGGACATACTGCCAATAAACACCATGCTTCCTGGAGCCTTACGCTCCATCAAGTGCTTTGCAACGGCAATTGCAAACAGGTATGTTCCATCCACGTTGACACCCCAGAGTTTTCGAACTCGATCGATTGGGTAGTTGATGGCTTCAAAATTCTCAGTGAAACCAGCTGATGTCACCAAGTTATCGATTTTTCCGTGCTGGGAAATAATTTCGGCAATAGCAGCATCGACGGATTCTTGAGAAGAGACATCTGCGTAATGGGCGGTAACCTTTGGAACCCTAAAATGATGCGTAAGCCTTTGGTTACAAGATCAAAGTAAAGCTACTCTTCCTACTTTTCTGCTCCTGGGTTCTCTCTCTTGAATGAAGCAACAAGTTCTCCTGCTTGCTTTTCGGCTTCTTCCTCTGTTGCATTATTAGCACAACATCAGCTTGACATTTGTTGATGGCACATACTATTCATATCAACAATTGCAATATCAGCACCACTAATAACCATGGCTTGACTCATGACAAGTCCCAAGCCTCTGGCACCTCCGGTAACGACACCAACTCTTCCTTCCAAAGAGAAAGATGCAAGTGTACGCTTGAAGTGAAGCCCACCTCTGCCTTGTACTGGCTTACTGGATGGCAAATCATGTTCTTCTGGGTATTCGACATGTACAGAGGAATCGGTTCGTGCAAAAGAACCTTCGTGGGGTGGATCATCAAGCTTCTCGCGGAGGGAAGCTGTGCTGTGGATTGGTCTTGAGGATAGAGCTGGTAATGTGCGAGATGAAGTTGCCTTTGTTGAAGCTCTGGCAGCACGAGCTGTATGTCTGAGAAGTTGTGATCGGAACATCGTTGATGTGTTTGTTAGAATGTAAGTATACACCCACTAAGAAAAGGTCCAAAAGATGGCGACCAGGCTAGATAGTCTCTGCAACGGGAAATCTGATCTGGTTGAGATAATTGAATGATGTTATAAAAAGGGCACTAGATTCACAATATTCAAAAATATTCGTTCAAAGTCAATTGAAGAATGAAAAGGTTTAATGGACAATGAATGCTCTTGTATGAAATGAAAAGTGTTCTCGAGAAAATTGGTACTTAGTTTAAGAAGGTCCTTGGTACTTGACGTAGAGTGAAAACAGAAATGATAGCTACTATGTACCAAGGGTTTGTTGACATCATCTGACAGTGCAGCTCCCCAAATCTCTCCACTCATAATGGATACAGTTGGTATTTCAGTGGGGGTCGCCCATTGCTGAATCGATTCGGTCTGAGTGTTGCTACACCGAAAGTAAGGGAAACAAAAGAAGCTCAATGCCCAGACCCCAGAAGTAGGAAAAGACATGGGGAAAATAGTGGCAAAAGTAGGAAGAAAAAAAGTGCAAGACGGTATACATCGTGAGATGTGATTGTTGAGGCTTCAATACTTGCAAGAGGAATGCCCAACGAGTCCAGCTCATTACTTCTCTCGCTGTGATTTGGTTGATTGTATGTACGTATGAGCGTGTGTGACGAGTACGAGGTACATACCTCCGATGGTACATTTCAATAGTACAAGACCCAAATGTGGTCAATCACATCTTGAGATTCATGCATCGTGGGATTCCATTTCAAATTGCAATACAAAACAAAGTACCTGGAGCTCTGTGCTTGAAAGAATCGGCGAGTCGGAATCTATTTGTTCTGATGGCTCGCTTGTGATTGCTGATAGTGATTATATAATCGTGCCTTATCAACAGCCACAAGCTCACCAGCCACATCACGTGCACCGCAAACAGCAAATGCCGAAACCATCCTTTCTTTACGCTAAAACCCCGTGCTCAATTTACTAGTCAAGAATATGGTTTAATTACGGCGTTCCTACTACCTAGTAGGTAGTGACATTTATGGAGGCTGTGCCCATTAGTGGAACCTCGCCGCTTCCTTTCACTATCGTCCCTTTGAGACGCTCAGGCTTGACATGAAACCGTAACTTCTCCTCATCTTTTCACCATCAACACGATAGCCTACCTATACTTCACTCACTCACTCACTCATATTATTTCCGCAAAATCCCACATATTCTGTTTGAAAGAATATTCTACCAGACCTCGTCATAAAGTAGCAGGTCTACCGGTTTCGACAATTTATATTCTCTTTGACGGCAAGCAACACAACATTACCCCACGATATTCCCAATCTATCGATCCACATCACCATGCGATTTATCACACTTGGAGCGGGGGCAGCTCTCGCAACCCTTAGTCAAGCATTTCTATTACCTCCAGCCATTTCGGAATCTGCCAGCAATGCTATAGATTCTTTACCTTTCGATGCTGCTATCGAGGCAGAAGGCAGAATATTGGCTGTCGACTGTCCTGGTTGTCCAATCGCCGTCCAGACTTTGGATTCACAGGGACGTCGACACGGTTTGTCGGGATTGAATAGACTCATGTTCAATTTTTCCGTCTCGCACGATAATGGTCTCGATCGTGTACTTCTTAATGGACTCCAATTCTATCCCATCGATATGGACTCCAGTCTCGAACGTCTTTCAGCTCCACAAATGATCAAGACAACTCAAAACAAATGGGTCGAAGCCGCAGAACCCGACCTAGGCTATGCTTTACGTATCCATAAGCCAATATCATATTCTAAACAAGATCAAATTGATCTGGTCATGGCAACCCTTGAGATTCTCGAAGTCGGAAATACATTCGTGGATACCGTCAATAACATTGAACTCAAGATTCTTACGACACCAAGTGGAAAGTTGATGATTGGCGATGCACAAGTTGTACCATCACCACCGAAGAGTCATCTATCTAACTCAATCGATGATGGACAAGAGTGTACGACGGTGCTTTGCAAATGGAGAGCAATTATGGCCGACAAACTCTCAGCTCTCAAAAAAGGCTGCGGTGGCCAAGCCCAACCAACTTCCCACAACAACAGACCTCAAGGTCATGGACGTCCCCGTCCACACGGTCATCATGGAGGACACGACAGCCACAGAGGTCATGGTGGTCATGGTAGACCTCATCGATTCTCTCACAAACACCACGGCATCGCCAGATTCTTGCGAAGTGTTGTCCTACACGTCTTCATTCCAGTTATCATTGGTGTCGTTGCAGGAATCACTGCCAGTCTTGTTGGTATGGTTGTTGGCCATGTTGTTATCTTCATGTGGCGTTTATTGTTCCGTAGAGGATCTCAAAGCCAATACACCAAGGTTCAGCAAGAAGATGCTGGTGTTGAAGAGGGCATCGAAGAAGAAAAAGGTCTCATTCAACACCAAGGTCCACCCCCTGTTTACGCAGATATTGTCAGGGAAGATAAAGAATAACCAACGAAATGAAAGAATGCAATCAAATTGGATTGAATTGAAAATGTGGTCTTGGCTCTTCTTAATGACCTTGCCACAATTATGATAATCGGAGGTGAATTTGGCAAGAGGTTTCTTAGAAGTTTATATGGCGAGATTGATGAGATTGCAGGAAATGGCATGCGGGTTTTAAGGGGGGCAAGGGGTCGGATAATGAGCAACTAGTGACTTTTTTTGCAACGTGCCAATTGTATTAATATATCAAGCGATCGTCTATTGCCTTTGAATGTTTCAATATCATCCATGTCATATTATAACTCAATTTCATTTACAGGTTGCTTTGGAGAGCTGATTCAAAATTCACAATGCTTCCTATGCTGATTCAATGAAGTAGAAACTAGTAAATTGGTATGCCTTCAAACTGGCTAATAATTCAAGGTATAAGGTGGAGAACTCGGCCTGGGCATCCATATTTCTTTCCTTTTTCACTGGCCACGTACTTGTTACCATTGTCCTTCTCTACCTTCTTTATTATCTGTAGCTAATTTAGTCGATTTACATTGCACGTATGTGTATGCATTTCCTACCTCTACACTGATCTCGCACACTATTATAATATATGCTTCGCAATATTCTCTTTGACATACGATACGCGGATGCGAGGAGATGGGAGATTTTCTGTCTATGTTTAATCTGCTTCTGGTGTGTGCAGGTGCTGGGGATTAGAAGATTTAGGAGGATAGGTCGAGTGTGAGGTGGATATTGGCTGATGTCTCTGTTTTGCGGAGGGGAGGGGAGGAGATGGGATGGATTTTGAGATGAGGTTTGGAGAATATTCGAAATGTGGATTTTTGGGCTTGTTGATGGATGGAGATGGGAATAATAGGATGAAGGTTTTTATGGGTTTGGATTATAGATGCTTTTATGTATGTATGTATGTATGTATGTATGGGAGTTGTTTTTGGGTGTGCGATAGAGGAGGCAAACTGCTATGATGGCTAATTTTTGACATTTGGGTAGGAAGTGAGGTGCATGTATGGAGGTGATGAGTTGGAGAGAGGTGTTATGGTGCGCTGAGTTGAAGGGGCCAGAGGGTGCGGGATGCGGTGTATAGAACCAATAGAGGGGCGTGGAATGGGTGATATTCCGTACGGTTGTGAGGAGAAATGTTCATATTGTGCGATTACGCTTTCGTATGGGCTGGGATATATGAAGTGGAGATTGAGGGGATCATTTGTCTTCTTTCTGGGTTCCTCGAATATGAATTTCGGGAATTAAGACAATAGTAGTCTGAGATGGCTAGGTGTGTGGTTCTGACTTATGGCTTGGGAAAATATGTCGTCATAATATTGGTGGTGACGTGAAGGGAAATCCTAATGATGAGAAAATGTTGGAGGGAGTAGAGGGAGGGGGAGAGTAGATGTCATGATACATTCAGATCTATTGTCATCTGATGCTACAGATGAATGCAAGCGAGGATTGAGACATAGGAGGAACAGAATCGGCTGAATGGAATGAGAATAGATGGCCGGGGATAGTAATCATGAATATAGCGATAGAGATGCAGAGAAATGTGCTAGGAATGTACGAGATATTGGAGAATATTGATTAGGCTTTGCATGGGGGCTTGCCTTGGAAAAAATGAATATGTTGTTAGGAGTATGAGAAGAAGAGGAGAAAACCTTGGAGGGAGGTTGTACTAGCAGGGACAATGAGAATGTAGATTTCTGATAATGAAAGATACTGAGTTGATTGATTGATTTGATCTGGTTACTAGAAGATGGTTGCGTACTCCGATAACTCCGGGTCGAATGGATTTGCAGCAGGCTGATGGCATATGGTTTAGGGATGAGATGAGAGCTGTGTGAAGTGGGTGTCTTGCGTTGGGAAGGTTTAAAATAAGGTGAGAACATGGAGTGGAATGAAGAGTTGGAATGGGAGGAGTGTCTGAGAATGATCTACTATGTAAAGAAAAGTTAATTGTTGGAGAAGATTTAATCGTCTATAAGAATTGCATTGTCCGAGAGGGTTCGATTATCCGAAGCTGCTTCAATTTTGAGATGTACTGGATGTCTAAAATAGTTTACTTGTATGAAGGTACTTCCAATCCACTGAAATCTCATGACTCTAATAGAATTTGAGATCATACCATGGTAGATATGTGTGAATAGCAATGAAGGATTTGAGATGATATGAGTATTTGCATAACCTAGCACCAGTAAAAATTTTCATTTTTTGAAGGCTCCCTACTATGAAATCTATTTTCTTAAGTCATATTGAAAACCCCAAGGTAAAAGCTCCTCTTTTGGTAGATCCTAACCATAAATTCTTCAAGGCTTTCCGAGTCGACTTGATGCCCTCTCACTACCTTTGCAGTCGTAGCATAGAGGGTCCTCACTATATCAAACTGATCCAAGTCCCTGACCAAGCTGATTGTGATGATGAGGGAATACGTCATATTTGAGTTCAATATTCGTTTTAAATTATGAATCAAAGTTTGGTGGCAACATTGATAACGAAAAAATGTATGGTACTTGGAAAACATCATTCTCAAACTCTTGGTAAAGACTTTTTTGTACAGCCTCCTCTCAAATAGCACAATTTAACGTCGCTATATGATTATGTTGATATTTGTCCTGTGTTTGATGTGGTTGCTATATCCAAGGCAACTAGTCTTAACACCCGAGTCACCGAGTGGGATGGACTGCTTAGACTTCTTTCAACGATAAGCTGGTCTTGGATGTGCCGAGGGTGCTTAGGAATGTTTAGTTTATATCTCAAAAGTATATTGGCGCCAAGAAATCGAGAATACCGTGGCCATGATAATATTGCAATGAGAGGAAAACAAGATGTCAATTTTTGAGATTTTGTGGAGGATGGCAGAGGTATGCATCAGTTTTTGATATTGAAAATTGATTAAGAAAAGTCCACTTGGACAGAGCTTTGAGAAACGGAGCTGAAGCCCGAAAGAGGAAGGCACTGACAGTATTTGATGGCTGCTTATCTCACTACAGAATGGATAAGCGAAGTATTAAAGAAGATGAGGGATCACAAAGAGCTGTAAAGCAAAATTTATGGGGGTTTCTTTCTCCCGTGGCACTTCGACACCTGCATGTCCACCGATGTTGCTAGGCCAGTGGAGGGTATGAAGATTATGACAGACTCTTGCACCCATGGGCATACGGAGGAGCTGTTTACGATGAGCAAGATATCGTGGTATCGAAGGTATCAGGACAGAGTATCTGTCATAGCTTCAAACAATAGATGGTGATGTCTCATTCCACGGCGGCAATCGCCCATCGACAATATGGTGAGTTGTTTAAATGTGGTCTAGGTAATGATTGAAAGTCGAGATTGGCTCGAACTGATATCCAAACACGTGGGTAATGAAGGGTTTTCACAAAAATGTGGGATCGAATGTTGCTAAAATGAGGAGCCTCCGGAAATAGACGAGATCCTGCTGTCCACTGGGACGAATCGGCTCTCGTGCCTGGTTAACACATATCGGATGTGCATGATGGATGCGATAGCAGATGCAGCATGTTCAATGTTCGTTCGCAAGCCTTATGGGTACGGACAACTCGAGCTGGGCCCATGTAACTTAAGTGGGTTTGTTCAACGGCCATTGCCTGATCCAGCGAAACCCATTGAATTTCCAAATTTATCGTTTTCCTCTCTTGGGTGCATTCCGATGTATCTATACCCACTAAGTATCTTTCAGCATCAGCCGCATCTCGCCGGCGTTGTTGTGGGACGAAGGCTGTACGTGAACTTTACAGGAAATCGTGATATTGTTGATGATAACCATAAATCTTCGGGAAGAACCGAGGCAAGACTTCGCATTTTATGAGGCTCGGCGCCGGCAAAATTCTTAGTCTCTTCTCTTCAACCACGGTGTTTGCAGCATCTAGATCTTTATTGTTACAACTGTATAATGATATGGCTTAATTTGTGTTTTGGATCACTCGTTCGTCCACTGAACAAGTGAATATGTCCTCATAAATCAAATCAACTCTTGCAAGCTTAGGCGGTGAGACAAAAATGGTGCAATGCTTTACACGATGAAGCCATCTCTCGAAAACATATCTTTGACCCATATGTTCATTGGAAACAAAATCAGATGAAGAATACGAGAAGCATGTTTTTAATGCACGCAAAGATGAATACATGTTAGCGTGACATACATATCGACGTTCTTAGCTTCCGCGGCATCCTACCTTGCAAAGTTGCTAGCGGATTATCATGTAATCTGCATTGCAGAAGATCTATCAGGGTCTTGTCCCAAAGATTGGGATTTAGCTCCAATACCTTTTGCGCTCCACTTCATGTCAATGAGAATTGCAGCTTCGAGCACCGCCTGCCTGTTCTCACAACGGTGCTGCGGTCACTCAATCTAACTTGAAAGTTTGTCAAGCTCGGAAAGACAAGCACTTGGCTTCAAGTCCGGCCACGCCCATGTCGCAATTCAGAGGAAGCCCTCAATTGCTCTTGCATGCTTTCATCTATCCAGCCAAGTCATCAATCTATCACGGAAAAATACTCACTACCTTTGGCGGTGCATGTGACAAATTCATCAATTTTCTTGCACCAATCATAAATGAAATAGCTTGAAGTATTCAAGTATATAACACCAAGGTTTTCTCATAAAAAACCCATTCTCAACAACAACAACAACAACAACTGCTTTCCTTTGCATACATCGATTGTCATGTATTTCTCAATTCCAATCCTTTCCTTTGCGGCCACTCTTCTAGGAGCAGTCTCTGCCGCTCCTCTAGAGGCACGAGCGGTCTCCAGAACCTCTGCACCATCAGGTGCTGTTATTGTCGACGCAACCGGCAAAACATCAGGATCATACACAACATTTCAAAAAGGAGTGAATGCCCTCTCCACCACTACTACCACACCTCAATATCTCTTCATCTACCCTGGAACCTATACCGAACAAGTATATGTTCCAGCTCTCAAATCCAACCTCACAATCCAGGGGTATACTACAGATGCAAGCACCTATGCTGGTA